CAGTTACTCAATTTTTCACTTTTTCGATTTCTTATATTTTAGATTATTCAATAAATGATGAAGTTTTGTTTTTTGATGTTTCGATTTCTCGATTTTTCCACGTTTCGGTTTTCAATTTTTCGCGTCTAAAAAACTTTTTTTCCATGTTTCAACTTATCAATTTTTAAATTTTTGGCATTTCAATTATTCGAGCCTTCACTGAGTCATTTTTTTCGATTTTAAATTTTTTTGGATTTCTCAATTTCTCAGTTTTTCGATATTTCGATTTCTCGGCAATTTTGCGTTTTTCAACTTTTCGATTTCTGGATATTTGAGCTTTTCTTGTTCCAATTTTTCGGTTTTTTGGATTTTTAGTTTTTTGCCAATAATTTTGTTGTAGTAGTAAAAACTTGGACAATTTTCTCATTTTTCATATGATTTCCTTATATTTGAATTTCATTCTTGAAAATAAGCCAAGAAAAATGTAATAATAGACTCCACTTGATGAACTTCCAACTTTTCTCAACGTTTCACAGCTTGTAGAACACAAACATGTATTTGGCATAAAATTTAAAAAATGCGGATGTCTGGGGAAAAGAAGAAATAATTTTCCATAAGGATGGCTGAATGGCCTAGAACCCCCACTATATAACCATTATTAGTACGAGTTGTCAAAAATATTGTCCAGCTTGAAGAAAAATAAAATTTAAAAGATACTCTAATTAGTAATATAATATAAAATATAGCAAGAATTCAAAAATGACTGACGTCATCAGCTTTCTGGAAGGGTCGAACAAACAAATTGCGAAAAGTGTCAAAATAAAGTGGAAGAGTCCGCAAAACTGTACGAAGTATTTCTCTTTTTTCAGATAAAGAAATTTCGTGATATGTGGGACACACTGTACGCTCCATTGTGGAACATCCTGTATATCATGGTTGTGGGATACAAAATATTTCGTTTCATATAATAACAGTAGGTAGTCAAATTTGTACCATTTTTCCTACCATCAACCAAAAGTACTTAACCATTTCCTGGAATTTTACGTAAATACTTACTTCAAGCATCGCAGAAGCCTCTGACCGAAAACACCCAAAATCGCCAAAAAACACTCAGTACTCATCAAACACCCACTCAAAGTGCCCAAACCACAACTTTCACCCATTTTCAACCACAAATAAACACCCAGACAACTTTTTTCCGGCGAAAAACAGCCCGTGTGACATTTTCACAATTTTCAAAATGACGTCACTAGCGTCGTCACGCCTGCCAACCCCACTTGTATAAAAACGTGAATAAAGCAAAACCGTGTTCATGTCTTTGGGGTTCCTTCAGGGGCTACAATTTTTCTCTTGTGTTGTGTAAATTTTACATTTCTCAACTTCTCGATTTCTGGATTTGTCAATTATGCGATTTCTTAAATTTTAGATTATTTGTTCTTAGTTCTTTTGATGTTTGAGTTCTCGATATTTCAATTTTTCTATGTTAAAAACTGCTGGTTTTTTATTTTTCGATGTTTCAACTTTTCGATTTTAAAATTTTTTTGATTTTTAGTTTTTCGATTGTGCACCAATTCCAATTTTTTCAATTTTAAAATTTTTTGCGTTTCTACATTTCTCAATTTTTTGATTTTTTGTCAATTTTTCGTTTTTCAATTTTTTGAAGTTTTGATTTCTCAATTCAGTTTTCCAAATTTTTCGGGATCTCTGTTTCGATTTTCCGGATGTTCAATATTTAATTTTCACTTTAAGCTTTTGGGCTGTTTCGATTTCTTGATTTTTAGACTTTTCGATTTCTAGTCAATGTTTCGTTTCTCTTCTTTTTTGACATTTTCGTTTCCCAATTTTTCAATTTTTCAGTTTCTCGGTTTTTCAAATTCGTGATTTTTTGACTTTCCGATTTTTCAATTTCCCAGTATTTTATCTTTCCGATGTTTCTATCTTTCGATCTTCTAAATTTTTGATTTTTCGACATTTCAGTTTCTCGATTTTTCGGTTTTTCGAATCAATTTTTTGATTTTTCAATTTTTCGATATTTCAACTTTTCGATTTTAACATTTTTGCGTATTTCAGTTTTTAGATTTTTTAGCAATTCCAATTTTTTCGATTATAAATTTTTTTACATTTCCACATTTCTTAATTTTTCAATTTTTCGTCAATTTTTCGTTTTTCAATGCGTTCAAGTTTTGATTTCTCGATTATTCCATTTTCCAATTTTTCGAGATCTCTGTCTCAATTTTTCGGCTTTTCGATTTTTCAAACTTCAAATTTTTCAATTTTTAATTTTTCGCTTTGGGCATTTGGACTGTATTCCGATTTGCTGATTTTCCCACTTTTCGAATTCTTGTCAATTTTCCGTTTCTCAATTTTTTTTTTATATTTTCATTTCCCGATTTATAAGTTTTTCAATTTTTCGATTTTTCAGTTCCTCGATTTTTCAAATTCTTGATTTCTCGACTTTCCGATTTTTCAATTTCTCAGTATTTTAGCTTTTCGATGTTCCTATTTTTGGACATTTCAGTTTTGGAATATCTCAGTTTCACGATTTTTTGGTTTTTCGAATCAATTTTTCGATGTTAAAAACTGTCCGTTTTTTATTTTTCGATGTTTCAACTTTTCGATTTTGAAATTTTTGGATAGGTACTTCAGTTTTTCGATTTTTCACCAATTCCAATTTTTTAGATTTTAACTTTTTTTTGTATTTCTACATTTCTCAATTTTTAGATTTCTCGTCAATTTTTCGTTTTCCAATTTTTGAGATCTCTGTTCCGATTTTTCGGCTTTTCGATTTTTTAGTTTTTCGATTTTTCGAATTTTAAATTTTTTCCAATTCTTAATTTTTCGCTTGGGGCTTTTAGACTGAGGTTTCGATTTCTTGATTTTTCAACTTTTCGATTTCTCGCCAATTTTTCGTTTCTCAATTTTTTTGATATCTTCATTTCCCAATTTCTCAATTTTTCGGTTTTTCAGTTTCTCGGTTTTTCAAATTTTTGACTTTTCCACTTTCCGATTTTTCAATTTCTCAGTATTTTATATTTCCGATGTTTCTATTTTTCTGTCTTCTAAATTTTCGATTTTTCGAAATTACAGTTTTAGAATATTTCAGTTTCTCGATTTTTCGGTTTTTCGAATCAATTTTTCGATTTTTTGAAATTTCGGGACTTCAGGAAATCTCAATTTTTCGATTTTTCAATTCGATGCTAAAAACACTTGCTTTTTTGTATTTTTCGATGTTTCAAATTTTCGATTATAAAATTTTTGGATACTTCAGTTTTTCAATTTTTCACCAATTCCAATTTTGTCGATTTTAAAATTTTTTGCATTTCTGCACTCCCAGTTTTCCGATTTCTCGTCAATTTTTCGTTTTCCAATTTTTTTAAGTTTGGATTACTCGATTATTCAATTTTCCAATTTTTCTAGACCTGTGTTTCGATTTTTCAAATTTAAAATTTATCAGTTTTTGATTTTTTGCTTTGGGCTTTTGGGCTATTTCGAATTGTTGATTTTTCGACTTTTCCATTTCTCGTCAATTTTTCGATTTTTCAGTTTCTCGATTTTTCAAATTTCTCAATTTCTCAGTATTTTAGCTTTTCCATGTTTCTATTTATCGGTCTTCTAAATTTTCGATTTTTCGACATTTCAGTTTCTCTATTTTTCGGTTTTTGGGATCAATTTTTCGATTTCTTTTTCTCAATAATTTTGTTATATGTACTAGTAAAAATGTTGACAATTTTTTCATTCATAATTTCCTTATAGTGAACTTTATTTTCGATTGCTTGAAAAACGGGAAAGGAATTTTTGTGCAATGTAAAATGTATCTGGCTCTTCTTCGTCAATTTGACAAATCTGTTAAATATTTGTCACTATTTTGACATAAAATGTTTGCAATGTCATTATTGTTTTAACCTATTTCAAAATAGTCCCGTTTAAACTAGAAAAATTCACACAGTAATCTGTCACACTAACTTTGACAGTTCCCGTTTTTTCTGGAGCCACTGTACACACTGTTGGCATTCAATTTAAAAAATCCGGATATCTGGAGAAAAGAAGAAATAATTTTCCATAAGAATGGCTGAATGACCTAGAACCCCCACTATATAACCATTTTTAGTACGAGTTGTCGAAAATATTGGCCGGTTTGAAGAAAAATAAAATTTAAACTGATGTCATGAGCTTTCAGATAAAAAAAATCGTGATATGTGGGACACACTGTACGCTCCATTGTGGAACATCCTGTATATCGTGGTTGTGGAATCCAATATTTCGTTTCATATTTTAACAGTAGGTAGTCAAATTTGTACCATTTTTCCTACCATCAACCAAAAGTACATAACCATTTCCTGGAATTTTACGTAAATACTTACTTCAAGCATCGCAGAAGCCTGCTGCCTGTGACCGAAAACACCCAAAATCGCCAAAAAACACTCAGTACTCATCAAACACCCACTCAAAGTGCCCAAACCACAACTTTCACCCATTTTCAACCACAAATAAACACCCAGACAACTTTTTTCCGGCGAAAAACAGCCCGTGTGACATTTTCACAATTTTCAAAATGACGTCACTAGCGTCGTCAAGCCTGCCAACCCCACTTATACAAAAACGTGAATAAAGCAAAACCGTGTTCATGCCTTTGGGGCTCCTCCAGGGCTACAATTTTTCTCCTGTGTTGTTGTGCACTAATTACAAACGAAATTATTACAGAAATCGGCCACGTGTAAAGAACAAACACGCAAATTTCGGGCCAGTGAACAGCGAAAATTAGCGTGCTTTTGCTTTGTGGAAAAGAGCTAGAAGTTTTGTAATAAACGTAATAAAATGAACGAAAATGAAGAGGGAATAAGTGAGTACAGGTGGAGCAAAATCGCGCGATTTTTGTGTGCGAGTGTACCCTAGTTACAAATCAGTGAATCAGTGTGACCACCCGCCCGAATTTCCCTAGATTAAGTATTTGAGTGCGTTGTAAATATTCAAATAGCTTTTAAAACGTCCTTTATAATGACTAATAAATGACAACTCTCAAGTTTTCCGATTTTTTTTATTTACTAAAATATATAATTTTGATAAATCAGTTTGTACTGGTTAAAATACAGTCTAATATTGTCGCATCGTATCGCTCCTGCTACAAAAGTAGTCACCCTATATACATGATTAAATAATATAATATAGTACAAACGCGATAGAATAAACTACGGAAAAATACTTCAATACGTGATGGGGGTAAGCAGTCTTCACTAACAACGTTACAAAACATAGCAAAAGGTGCCTCTAAAACAGACCAAAACTTAATATCAATCATACCAACAACGGGAGCGGAATGTGATATGTCTAGTGTTCCGTTCCGCTCCTATCATCATTTAATACTTCTCTACTTGTGTACGGAGGAGGCGGCTCGTTCAAATTTAAATTTAAGCGATCGTTTTGAGCATGAATTACGTCAAGATACGAAGGCGGCTGATCCTCCTCGGTAAACAAAAGAGGATCAGCGACATCACAATTGTCAATGATATGGTTACTGGAAGCTGCTAATCTCGTGTTTCGATATGTGTAGCCGTCGCACGACAGGCGCGTGCTCTGATTGGTTAAGCCAACGTTGACGAGAGTGGTGGGGGCGGACCGACTTAAGTCGGTCTTGCGCGCCATCAGCACGACTCGCGACGCCAGCACGAGGAAGAGGAGGATGACGAAGAGGATGCACAGAGTGCCTGCAACAACGTTAAAAGTACGTTTTATCTCACGCATTGTCACTTACAGATCGTGATGAAGAGATAGCGTGCCCCGTTGTGACTCTGAGTCACGGAGGCCGAGCCGTACTCCAACTCCTCGTAAGCTACAAAGACACTTTTAGATTTTGTTACAAACTAGAGTGACTATGTACAATCTGACAAGGCTTGGCAGCACTTCGGCCTGTTCGTCACGTTGCAATTGGGGTCGTGGTGCCGGTCGCAGCACCAACTCATCGGGATGCACCTGCCGTCGTCGCAAGGCAGCTTGTCCTTGCAAGGGTCCCCATGGCAAGTCTCGAGACTCTCGTCAGACCCGTCCTTGCAGTCGGCCTTCCCGTCGCAAATATAATGGTGAATAATACACACTCCATTGGAGCACTGAAACATCTGCTCGCTACAAAAAAACGTTTCTTGAATCATAGGCCTCTCTTCAAGGGGCGGTTTCTCATCTCTCACAATAACCTCGACAACCTCGAGCAAGTTATACTTTAAACTGACGCAAAAATATTTGCCTCGGTCTTCGGGTTTGAGGGGGTGAAAGCGGCGCACGGCTTTGTTCATCTCGCTCGGCTGCAAGATGGAAAACATTCTCGTATTGCTCTTGTCGGGGTGGTGCTCGCGCCAGAACCTGCGACAGGAGACTCAATGGGGGCTGCACAGTCGTGCTTTCACCGACCTACCTGATGTCGTTCGATTGCTTCACCCACGACAGCTGAAAGTCGTAGTAATTTCGGTTGGTTTCGGAAGACACTAAATCACAGAGTAGGGAAAAATTCGCCCCTGCTTTCTCTTCAACGACCGAAGCCGAAACAGGGGCGAAGTTATCTTCAGAACATTTGATTATTTGCAACGTGAGCTCGCCAGCGTTACCTGAAAGAGAAGCTGCAGACGTTACATAACCTCAAAATCGACAAACCCGATTTGGGGGTTGAAACGTCACGCAACAATACTCACATCCTAGACTATTTAGAATACTTAAAATTAACAAAATCACGAAATAATGATACATTTTAAAGCATTTTTTTCAAATTTCATCACGGGAAGCCATTTTTGCGTCACATTTGACGTTTGACGTTTGTTATTATGGTAACAACGAAAATCGAAATGGCGCCGGAAGTGGCTAAAGCAACACAAAAACAACAAAAATCGTTTATTATAATTAGAAAATACAAAAATTGGTGGTTAGTTTCGGGCGATCGACGAATTACTCTTGTACCAATCCACGCTTTCTTTAATCGCCACCGGGAACGGCGTGAACTCCCAATCCGGCAGATATTTCCTCAACTTGGCGTTACTCGCTGTTTTTTTATGCTGACCGTCAGACATTCGAAGATCGAACTCGAACGACCCCTTGAAACCGAAAGCCTTCGCTATCTCTTCCGTTAGCTGTTTAATCGTGACCTCCGCGCTCTCGTCCACTGAAAAACGCGTTAACATAACCTCACTTTTCGCTTGTACACAAACCTGATAAAATAATTGGGTCTACTTCGTCATAGTCGCGCAAAACCCACAAAAACAGTCGCGCTAAATCTAGCGAGTAGATAAATTGTCGCAACGGTTTGCCCGTTCCGAGGATCGTGAAAGTGGAGCCCCCTGACTCCATCACGTCGTGCATTCGCCGAATCAAGCCAGGTATCACGTGACTCGACTCCAGGTTGTAGTTGTCGTGGGGGCCGAACACGTTACAAGGCACCACTGAAGTGAACAAACACCCGTGCTGCTCGTGATATGCCCTATTCATGACGTCGATCATGCGTTTGGCGTAGCTATAACCGAAATTGGAGGGATGAGGCGGGCCGTTGTGTATCTACACACACACAAAATAAGCACAACTTCTCGTCACGACTGTCCTTTACCATGGTTTCGTCAATCGGGTAGGTCGTCTTATCCGGAAAAATGCACGTCGAGAGACACGACACCACCTTCTTCACCCCCGCTTCGTGACTCACTTGCAAGACGTTGCTGTTCATTTCGAGGTTGTTTTTCTGAAGAAAAGTGGGGTTAGAGAGTGTCACGAAAGAAACAACCACGGTACCAAGAAGTCCAGGTTGTGCGACATGTTGTGAAACAGCCCCCCTACCATCGCAGCTAAGTGTATCACATGGGTGGGTTTGTGTTTCTCGAAGAGCTGTTTGGTGGCTTGAAAGTCGCTGCAATGTTGTTTTTAGAGGGGGTTTGCTGGTAAAGGGACTATACCATAAGTTGGCGTCTTTACTGCCGACGAAAATCCAGGTTTCGTCTGGGCGTTTTTCGTCTTGTGTTACTTTCTGGATGGCTTTGCCCACGAGGCCGGAGCCCCCGGTTACCAGAATTGTCTTCGGGTCGCCCATTTTTAGTCGCACTTTTATCTTATCGGACACGTTTTTAAGTACATTCAAAGTGACAGGAGTCACGTGATTTATGTCATTAATGTCAATGGAGGGGTGCCAACATGACGCGGTGTAAGTGGGGTACATGCGGAAAATAGTTGGTTTGGGCGGCGTTTTATGCTAATTTTCCGGTTGTTTGGTCTTGGATTGTGGTAAATTGGCCGAAGCGGTTCGTTTGGTTAATTTTGGGGACAGGTTGCGTGAAAAATTGTTTTGTTTGTGATCGCATAATGTTTGAATGCGTAAATGCCAACGTGAAGGCTCAAAGTCACTAAATTAATGTGTGTTACTAGGACACGGGGCCCCAAGATTCTTTAAAATTCTTTAAAACACCAGAGGCCCCCGAGATTATTCCGATATCTTTCAAAAAATAAAACACTATGGACCCCCAAGATTTGTAAGAGAAATAACAATAATAAAACACCAAATACCTGGGCTTCTTGAGATTTTTTGGACTTCTTTAAAAGAAATAAAACACCAGGAACTTCAGAATGTTAAATATTCTTTGAAAAATAAAATCCAAGAATCTTCCAGATTCTTTCGACTTCTCCAAAAAAAGTAAAACAGTAGTCCCTAAGAATATTAAGACTTCCTTCAAAAATAAAACACCAGAAGCCCAAAGATTGTTTCGACCTCTTTGAAAAAATAAAACACTCAGAATGCTCGAGATTCTTTACACTTTTAGACTTCTTAAAAAAGAACACCATAACCACTGAGATTCTGATAAGTACTTAAAATATAAAACACCAGGGATTCTTGATATTGACTTCCTTAAAATAATTAAATCTCAGAAATCCCCAAGATCCTTTAGATTTCATAAAAAAAAAATGAAACACCAGAGGCCTCCAAGATTGTTTTGTTCATTTTCAAAAAATATGACATTATGGACCCCCAAGATTCTTAAGAGTTAAAAATAATAATAATAAAACACCAAACATCCGGGATTTTTGAGATTTTTTGGACTTCCTTCAAAAAATAAAACACCAGAAGTCTCAAAATTTTTTCGACCTCTTTGAAAAAATAAAACACTCACAATCCCTGAGATTCTTTACAATTTTAGACTTCCTAAAAAAACACCATGACCACAGAGATTCTGCCAAGTGCTTTCAAAAAATTAAACTGAGACACTTGAGTTTCTTTTGATTTCATTAAAAAGCGAAATAAATTCTATTTTAAACTCCAAATTCTTAAGAGTTTAAAATAGAATAAAACACCTGGGATTCTTGAGATTCTTTGGACTTCTTAAAAAAATAAGACACCAAGGACTTCAGAATGTTTGAAATTCTTTAAAAAATAAAATCCAGGTACCTCCGAGATTTCATCGACTTCTTCAAAAAGGAAAAGCAACAGTAGCCCCCAAGACTATTAGGACTTCTCTTGAAAAAATAAAATATTCAAAATCCCCGAGATTCTTTAGACTTTTAGACTTCCTAAAAAAATCAACATAACCACTGAGATTCTGATAAGTACTTAAAACATAAAACACCAGGAATTATTGATATTGACTTCTTTAAAATAATTAAACCTCAGAAATTCCCAAGACCTGAAATTCTTTACACTTTTAGACTTCCTAAAAAATTACCATGACCACAGAGATTCTGCCAAGCGCTTTCAAAAAATAAAGCACTTGCGACACTCGAGTTTCTTTTGATTTCATTAAAAAACAAAATACCATCGGCTCTCAAAATTCTTAAGAGTTGAAAAAAGAATAAAACACCAAATACCTGGGATTCTTGAGATTCTTTGGACTTCTTTAAAAATAAAACACCAGGGACTCCAGAATGTTTAAAATTCTTCGAAAAATAAAACCCAAGTATCTCTCAGTCTTTTGATTTCTTCAAAAAAGTAAAGCAACAGTAGCCACCAAGAATATTAGGACTTTCTTCAAAAAATAAAACACCAGTGGCTCCAAGATTGTTTCGACCTCTTTGAAAAAATAAAACACTCAGAATGGTCGCCATTCTTTACACTTTTAAACTTCTTAAAAAAGAACACCATAACCACTGAGATTCTGATAAGTACTTAAAACATAAAACACCAGGGATTATTGATATTGACTTCCTTAAAATAATTAAACCTCAGAAATCCCCAAGATCCTTTAGATTTCTTTAAAAAAATGAAACACCAGAGGCCCCCAAGATTATTTTGCCCATTTTCAAAAAATAAAACACCATGGACCCCCAAGATTCTTAAGAGTTAAAAAAAATAATAATAAAACAACAAACATCCGAGATTTTTGAGATTCTTTGGACTTCCTTCAAAAAATAAAACACCAGAGGTCTCAAAATTGTTTCGACCTCTTTGAAGAAACAAAACACTCACAATCCTTGAGATTCTTTACAATTTTAGACTTCCTAAAAAAAACACCATGACCACAGAGATTCTGCCAAGTGCTTTCAAAAAATAAAACTGAGACACTCGAGTTTCTTTTGATTTCATTAAAAAAAATAAATTCTATTTTAAACTCCAAATTCTTAAGAGTTTAAAATAGAATAAAACACCTGGGATTCTTGAGATTCTTTGGACTTCTTAAAAAAATAAGACACCAAGGACTTCAGAATGTTTGAAATTCTTTAAAAAATAAAATCCAGGTACCTCCGAGATTTCATCGACTTCTTCAAAAAGGAAAAAAAGGAAAGGCAACAGTAGCCCCCAAGACTATTAGGACTTCTCTTGAAAAAATAAAACATTCAAAATCCCCGAGATTCTTTAGACTTTTAGACTTCCTAAAAAAAACACCATAACCACTGAGATTCTGATAAGTACTTAAAACATAAAACACCAGGGATTATTGATATTGACTTCTTTAAAATAATTAAACCTCAGAAATTCCCAAGACCTGAAATTCTTTACACTTTTAGACTTCCTAAAAAAATACCATGACCACAGAGATTCTGCCAAGCGCTTTCAAAAAATAAAACACTTGCGACACTCGAGTTTCTTTTGATTTCATTAAAAAACAAAATACCATCGGCTCTCAAAATTCTTAAGAGTTGAAAAAAGAATAAAACACCAAATACCTGGGATTCTTGAGATTCTTTGGACTTCTTAAAAAATAAAACACCAGGGACTCCAGAATGTTTAAAATTCTTTGAAAAATAAAACCCAAGTATCTCTCAGTCTTATGATTTCTTCAAAAAAGTAAAGCAACAGTAGCCACCAAGAATATTAGGACTTCCTTCAAAAAATAAAACACCAGTGGCTCCAAGATTGTTTCGACCTCTTTGAAAAAATAAAACACTCAGAATGGTCGCCATTCTTTACACTTTTAAACTTCTTAAAAAAGAACACCATAACCACTGAGATTCTGATAAGTACTTAAAACATAAAACACCAGGGATTATTGATATTGACTTCCTTAAAATAATTAAACCTCAGAAATCCCCAAGATGCTTTAGATTTCTTTAAAAAAATGAAACACCAGAGGCCCCCAAGATTATTTTGCCCATTTTCAAAAAATAAAACACCATGGACCCCCAAGATTCTTAAGAGTAAAAAAAAAATAATAATAAAACAACAAACATCCGAGATTTTTGAGATTCTTTGGACTTCCTTCAAAAAATAAAACACCAGAAGTCTCAAAATTGTTTCGACCTCTTTGAAAAAATAAAACACTCACAATCCCTGAGATTCTTTACAATTTTAGACTTGCTAAAAAAAACACCATGACTACAGAGATTCTGCCAAGTGCTTTAAAAAAATAAAACTGAGACACTCGAGTTTCTTTTGATTTCATTAAAAAGCGAAATAATATGGCCCTCCAAATTCTTAAGAGTTTAAAATAGAATAAAACACCTGGGATTCTTGAGATTCTTTGGTCTTCTTAAAAAAAATAAGACACCAGGGACTCCAGAATGTTTAAAATTCTTTAAAAAATAAAATCCAGGTACCTCCGAGAATTCATCGATTTCTTCAAAAAGGAAAAGCAACAGTAACCCCCAAGACTATTAGGACTTCTCTTGAAAAAATAAAACATTCAAAATCCCCGAGATTCTTTAGACTTTTAGACTTCCTAAAAAAAACACCATGACCACTGAAATTCTGCTACTTTAAAAAATAAAACACTAGAGATACTCGAGATTCTTTTGACTTCTTTAAAAACAAAACGCCATGGATCCTCAAGATTTTTTATATTTAAAACAAATAATAACAAAACGCCAAACATCCCGGATTCTTGAGATTCTTTGGACTTCTTAAAAAAATAAAACACTAGAGACTCCAGAATGTTTAAAATTCTTTGAAAAATAAAACATTAGAAATTTCCAAAATCGTAATAAAACACCAAACATCCGGGGTTCTTGAGATGCTTTGGACTTCTTAAACAAATAAAACACCGGAGACTCCAGACTAAAATTCTTTGAAAAATAAAACCTAGGAATCTCCAATATTCTTTCGACTTCACAGCAGCCCCCAAGAATCTCAGGACTTCCTTCAAAAAATAAAACACCAGAGGCTCAAGATTGTTTCGATCTCTTTCAAAAAATAAAACACCCAACATCCCTAAGATTCTTTAGTCTTCCTTAAAAAAACAAGATGACCACCAAGATTTTACCAAGTAGTTAAAAAACCACCAGGCATCCCAAGATTCTTTAGACTCTTAGACTCTTAGAAAATAAAACACCGAGGCCCCAAAATTCTACCAAGTTTAAAAAACCGGAGATTCTTGAGATGGACTTCTTTAAGAAAAAAAAAACTAAAAGACCAGGGATTCTAGAATATTTAATTTTTTTTGAATTTTGTGAACAATCAAACCCAGGAATCTAAGAGATTCTTTCGACTTCTCATCAATCCGCAAGAATCTTAGGACTTCCTTAAAAAAATAAAACACTAGAGTCCCTGAGATTATTTCGACCTCTTTCAAAAAATAAAACACTCAAACTCCCAGACATTCGTTAAATTCCTAAAAAAAAAGAGAACACCATGACAACTATGACCAGAGGTATCCCACGATTTTTTAGACTCTAATAAAAAATAATAAAACACCAAGGCCCCAAGATTCTGCGAAGTTCTTAAAAAAAACACCGGAAGTTCTTGAAGACTTCTTTAAAAAAATAAAACAGCACTGACTCCAGAATATTTAAAAGTCTTTGAAAAATAAAACC